ACAGTTGTTAAGTGAATCACTGTAGTTGTTCAGTTAGTAGCACAGTTGTTAAGTGAATCTGGTTTCCCCATTGACTTTGCTTGTTGGAAGGTAGCCAAAGATGATCACATGACCCTGGGACTCTGCAACTATCCTAAATATGAGCCAGTTGCCAAGCACCCAAATTTTGATCATGTGACCATGCAAATGCTGCCATGGTCGTACTAGTGGTGGGTTCCTACTGGTTTGTACCAGTATGGGCGAACCGGTAGTGATTTGACGGCCTGAGTGGCTAGAACCGGCAGCAACCCAGGCCTGCCATGCTTCCGAACTGGTTCTCCGAGTGGCGCTGTAAGTGCCACCATCTTGTTTTTGTGTTCTGTGCATGCGCAGAACAATTGTAATTGCACTGCACATGCACGTGCAGCACACATCAAGCGTGTGTGCACACACACGAGCAAACCTGCAGTAGTGCCTGCCGGAACGCACCCCTAGGTCGTACGTGTGAAAAATGGTCAAGTCCCTTTTTTCAGAGCACTAAATGAATGGTAGCAAGTATATGTAAATGATTGCAACTTTTCTATTTTGATTACATGATTTGCATTCTATTTGATGGCAAAATAGTACGCTATAAATTTTGTAAATAAGTAAAATAACAGTAGAAGGAGAATTTTAACTGATGCCTTTACATACAGTACAGACTTGACATTTTTAATCTCTTTTACCTTGATTTCTTTAAAAAAGAAAATCATCAAAGAGTTCAAGTGAAAGCCTTTAGATTAAGGGATTAAAGATTAAAAGCCATACAGAATAATCTGAAGCTTCTCTTATTTTCCTCTCCATTATTATTCTAGGGAATTTTTACGTTTGGGAAATCCTCTAAATTGTGGCGCCTGGGATAAAAAACAATTGAAACGGTATCGTGTACATAAACCAAGCTCACTCAGTTATGAGCCGGAGATGAGAAGTAAGTGTCACGTACTAAAAATGAATCAGGGGTTCTTCTAGGACTACTTAAAATCTAGTAATTCCTCGAGCAAAATCTAGAATGCTAATGAGATTTGCTTGTGTTATTATAGAGGCCTTTTGGATTAGCAATAGAAAAAGCTGATTGAATACAAGTCTAAAAATCGTTTAATCTTGGGTATGGAACGAGAATTGATCCACATTATTACAATGTTGGCATCTCACTTTTCAGCCTTTCTAGGGATTTTCATTGTCAGGTCTAAGTATTCACTTTTGATAACAACTCCATAATTTAAGATCTGCAACCATCTTCAAAATCTGATTTCAAATCAAAAATAGAATAAAGCCCTGATAATAATAGTATATCCGATAATTATAACTTCTGTTATTGTAGATAATAATAGAAGAGTCACATACCTTGATTTGTGATTAAAAGACTGACTGTACTATAGCTATATTTAGTCCAGTGTCGTTAATAGCCGAGGTTTATTTAATAATTTCTATTTCCGTACAAGGCTGAATAGAAAAAGATTTCTCTAAGCGGAAAGATGACTAAACTGGATTTAGGTAGACATTGTTGTGGAAATTAAAATACATTTGGATGCTACTAACCAGGTTCCTACTGGTTCGGACCGGTTCAGCCAAGTAGGTAGTAACTCGGCTGGCCACGCTCCCAAATCAGTTCTATCGGCGGCACCATAGGCGCCACCATCTTGATTTTTTGCTTCAGCGCATGCGCAGAAGCATTTTTACCTACTGCACATAGGTGAGTACCATGTATCAAGCATGCGTGCATGCCCGAAACACATCCCTGAACAAACCGGCAGTAGAAGAAGCCAGAATCCACCCCTGCTACTACCCTGTTTCCCCAAAAATAAGACCTCCCCAGATAATAAGCTCAGTCGGGCTTTTAAGTGCATGCTTAAAATAAGTGCCCCCTGAAAATAAGTCCCTCTCCTGAAAATAAGAGCCCTCCCTGAAAATATTTAAAGGCATGCACAGCCAGTCCCAGCCATTTCCTCTGGTTAGGGTTAGGAAGACAGAGTTGGAAATCAGGTAAGACGGTAAGAGGACCCCATCTTGTTCCACGCGCCCCTAAATTATAAGACCTCCCCAAAAATAAGGCCAAACATTTATTTTGGGGTTCGGGGTCTTATTTTCAGGGAAACACTGTATGTATCATTAAGATGTGCAATGGTTGATGGGTTGATTATAGGCCATCGACGTTATCACTTAATGACCACATAGATTTTCAGTGTGAGAATTAACTAGAAGAAAAAGAATATCTTAACATTTAATTCACAACCCAATAAAACTGACATAAGGAGGATTTGAGTCTGCTTCAGTGAATGGTTTCATTGGAATTTCACGAGTTAAAATTTGAAAGATTTTCAATTACATAAATTGCTTTTTGGGGTGTTTTTTTTTTGGTCTGTTATGTATAGCCTTAACTTTTATAACTTCCATTAGCGTTTCGAGGACTGATTTTTATAATCAGTCTAATCATTTTTAGAACCATCTAGTCTAGTGTTTCTCAACATTTACGACTTTAAGTCCAGGCGACTTTAACAGGACTTAAAAGTCGCCAAGGTTGAGAAACACTGATCTAGTCCACTGCTGGTTGCTCATCCGTGTGGAACCTGTGAATCACATTTTACAAATATGTGGGACGTAACATCAAGCAACAAGCCTATTTTCCCTCCCCGCCTTTCTCCGTTAACTCAACCTCTTCCTTTTTTTCACGCTTGCTGTTAGCACAGCTATTCTTATTTTACACCTCTTTTCCTTACTTTCTACTATAGATAGCATGGTTACATCAATGGAAGGTCTTGGTACTGACTGTGTGTTCAGCTTACACGAAGACAGCCACTACAGGATTAGCAAGAGCCTTTTGAAGCCAGCTGAAGGAAGCACCGTGCCTCTTACCAGAGTAAAGTGTTTGGTTTCTATGACAACGCCACATGATATTAGGCTTCACGGATCATCCGTTACGCCTGCCTTTATTGAATTTGACACTTCCCTTGAAGGGTTCGGGTAAGGTCTTTCAAAACCTTTTGTCTTAATTCATTGTTCTTCATGGAGGTTTAAGGGGACGGTTTTGGTTTTACAACCATATAGAACAGTGTTTCTCAACCTTGGCAACTTGGAGATGTCCGGACTTCAACTCCCAGGATTCCCCAGCCAGCGAATGCTGGCTGGGGAATCCTGGGAGTTGAAGTCCGGACATCT